CAGATCCTAAAATTCTAAATCTCTTAAAATGTGCAATTCAATGACTGTAGTATATTCACAAGGTTGTGCAACCATTGGCACAATTAATGTTAGAATATTATCATTACCCCAAAAAGAAATGCCATATCTATTAGCAGTCGCTTCCTATTTCCCACGGCCCCCCACCCCCGACCCCCAGCCCTAGAATCTACTAATCTATTTTTTGTCTCTATGGATTTGGCTATTTTGGGCATTTTATATAAGTGAAATCACAAATTTGTATAATATGTGGCCTATTGTAACTGGCTTCACTCATTTGGCATGTTTTCAAGGTTCATCCACATTGTTGCATGTATCAGTACTTCATTCCTTTTCATGGCTGATTAATATTCTATTATAAGGCTGGGCACAGAGGCTCACGCCTGTAATCCCAGAACTTTGGGAGGCTGAGGTGGGCGGATTGCCTGAGGTCAGAAGTTCAATACCAGCCTGGCCAACATGGAGAAACCCTGTCTCTACTAAAAATACAAAAATTAGCTGAGCGTGGCGGCACACGCCTGTAATCCCAGCTACTCAGGAGGCTGAGGCAGAAGAATTGCTTGAGCCCAGGAGACAGAGGTTGCAGTGAGCTGAGGTCACACCACTGCACTCCAGCATGGCAGACAGAGCGAGACTCTGTCTCAAAAAATACACACACACACACACACACATATATATATATTCTATTGTATGTATATACCATATTTATTTTTCCATTCATCAACTGACAGACATTTGGAGTTGCTTCCACTTTTTGGCTATTGTTCTAATTTCTACACATCCTCACCAACACTTGTTAATGTATTTTTTATTATATCCTAGTGGGTAAAAAGTGATACCTCAGTTTGGTTTTGATTTGCATTTCTCTGATAATGATGTTGAGCATTGTTTCAGGTGTATATTGGCTATTGAACTATGGAATATATAAATATATGTTCAAATCCTTTGTCCATTTTTTTTTTCTTTTTGAGACAGGGTCTCACTCTGTCGCCCAGGCTGGAGTGCAGTGGCATGATCTCGGCTCACTGTAACCTCTGCCTCCCAGGTTCCAGCAATTCTCATGCCTCAGCCTCCTGAGCAGCTGGGATTACAGGCATGTGCCAGCACACCCAGCTAATTCTTGTATTTTTTTAGTAGAGACGGGGTTTCACCATGTTGGCCAGGCTATTGTCAAACTCCTGACCTCAGATGATCTGTCCATCTCGGCCTCCCAAAGTGTTGGGATTACTGGCATGAGCCACTGCATCTAGCAAGAAATTTTTATATATTCTGGATAGTCGAGCCTTCTCAGAAAAATGTTTCCCAATATTTTCTCCATTTCGTGGGTTGTCTTTTCACTTTCTTGGTACGTTCTCTGAAGTATAAAACTTTTTTTATTTTGGTGAAGTCCAGTTTAACTCTTCTTTCTTTTGTTGCTTATGCTTTTTAAAAAATAATTTGAGGTAAAATTCACATAATATAAAAGTAACCATTTTAAAGTAAGCAATTTAGTGGCATATAGTGCATTCATGATGTTATGCAACCACCACCTCTATCTAGTCCCAAAACATTTCTATCACTCCACAGTAAATTTTCTTACCCAGTAAGCAGTTTCTCCCCATTCCCTCCTCCCACCAACCCCTGCCAACCATCAGTCTAGCTTCTGTCTCTGTGGATTTATCTATTCTAATTATTTCATATTAATAGAATCATATAATATGTGACCTTTTGTGTCTGGCTTCTTTCACTTAGCATAACATTTTCCAGGTTCATCCACATTGTAGCATGTATCAGAACTGCATTCCATTTATAGATGAATAATATTCCATTGAGCCAGAATGTATTTATCTATTCATCCATTAATAGACATTTGGGTTGTTTTATTTTTTTGGCTCTTATGACATGTGCTGCTATGAACATGCACGTACATGTACTTGTTTGAGTACCTATTTTCAACTCTTTGCATATATACCTCATTATGGAACTACTAGGTTCCATGGTAACTCTATATCTAATTTTTGAGAAACCACCAGATTATTTTGCACAGTAGCTGAAGCATTTTACCTTTTCACCAGCAATGTACAAAAGTTCCAATTTCTCTATACCCTTGCCAATACTTGTTATTTTCCATTTTAAAAAACTATTATTGCCGGGCGCGGTGGCTCACGCCTGTAATCCCAGCACTTTGAGAGGCCGAGGCGGGTGGATCACGAGGTCAAGAGATCTAGACCATCCTGGTCAACACGGTGAAACCCAATCTCTACTAAAAATACAAAAAATCAGATGGGCATGGTGGCGTGTGCCTGTAATCCCAGCTACTCAGGAGACTGAGGCAGGAGAATTGCCTGAACCCAGGAGGCGGAGGTTGCGGTGAGCCGAGATCGCGCCATTGCACTCCAGCCTGGGTAACATGAGCGAAACTCCGTCTCAAAAAAAAAAAAAAAAAAAAAAAAAAACTATTATTGCCGGGCGCGGTGGCTCACTCTTGTAATCCTAGCACTTTGGGAGGCTGAGGTGGGTGGATCACCTGAGGTCAGGAGTTCAAGACCAGCCTGGCCAACATGGTGAAACCCCATCTTAAAAAAATAAAAAATCAATAAAAAAACTATTATTATTACAACTATCCCAGTCATCACGAAATATATTCTTAGCTTCAGTACCTGTGTTCTCCCTATCTCAGGAAGATCATTTTCCTGCTGATCTCTGACCTTCCTTAGGTTAGATCACATGCAGCACACAGGCTACATACAATAAGCCTACGAGAAAAATATCCCTGTGCTGGTATCAGTCTAACCTGCTCCACCAGGGCCCCTCTTGTTGGTTCTGATATCCTAGACCCAGTACCATGTCCCCAGCATTCTGGTTCCAATGCTAGCTAATTTTTCCAGATAAAATCCTTGACTGCTTTAACCTGTAGTTTCTACTGTATGCTTTCAGACATGGTAAATCTGATTTTGAGACAAAACACATACAGCTTGATAATATATATTGCAAGTCTAAGGAAGATTTTCAGGCTGCTGAAAGCCTTCCCTAGCTAGGTGGTGACAGAAGAGAACCTTGGCAAAAGTAGCCTAGTTTTTATAGTTGGGTGTAAGTGTTCTTCTTGGTATATACAAAGAGATGTGTAAGCTGTTAACAGGGAGAGTTTAATAAGGCCACTTCTCATCTTTCAAGACTCAGCTTAAGAATTACTTTCTCCGGGCCGGGCGCGGTGGCTCAAGCCTGTAATCCCAGCACTTTGGGAGGCCGAGGCGGGTGGATCACGAGGTCAAGAGATCGAGACCATCCTGGTCAACATGGTGAAACCCTGTCTCTACTAAAAATACAAAAAATCAGATGGGCATGGTGGCGTGTGCCTGTAATCCCAGCTACTCAGGAGGCTGAGGCAGGAGAATTGCCTGAACCCAGGAGGCGGAGGTTGCGGTGAGCCGAGATCGCGCCATTGCACTCCAGCCTGGGTAACAAGAGCGAAACTCCGTCTCAAAAAAAAAAAAAAAAAAAAATTAAAGAATTACTTTCTCCATAAAGTTTCCTGGACTCCAGTAGGAAGCTCCTCCCTAGTTTGTGCCCCCACTTGAACTTTGGAGAGACTTACATAATAGCTTTAACACTTACTATATTTGTTAACACTTTACTGTATTTGTTGACATGGCTATCTCCATTTAGATGGAAGTACTTGAGAGCAGGGACCTTGCCATTTATACTAGTATACAAAATGTACTCAATAAATGTTAGTGAATGACTGAAGGGCCATGGCTCAATACAGAGACTAGGCCTTACATAAAGAGTAGAACAATTCACTGTGTCATCATTCAAAACCTACCAATGAAGGTGAGCAAAATGTGTCCTAGTACCCTCCACTCCCCCAAAAAAAGGTGGCAAAGGAAGTGGAAACAGTAGTCTTCTTCCAGGTTGCTCTGTTTCATACTTTCAAAAAGTATAGATCTACTTGTATTGAGACATCAGCTTGCACATTTGCCAAGCCATATTCATAGACAGGGAAATGTTATATTGCCTCTGACCTTGCCTGCAGCTGCTTCTCTGGACTTGTTCCTGGTTCAATAGCATTCTACGGCTGGCACCCTAAATTGATTCCAGCCATTCCCAAAGAGCAGAAAGTGGGCCCTAAGTGCCTGTTTGGTCAAGAATAGTTTTCCAAGAAATCTCGCTACTTTTTGTTCCCCCTTGGTTCACTTAGAATTAGAAAAAGGATGGCAGAGCTGACCATTCCCACAACATAGATCTGTAGAGACTGAACAACCTAATTCTTTTAACTAGCTCCTGGCTGAAGAGACCACCCTTTCTTAGGCCTGAGTGTGTCTACCGCTTCAGTGAAGACCCACTTAGTCCTCCTTGGTCATTCAATGATACAAAGATGTTCACTAATCAGTTCATGTACTCTACATGTCTACAATAACCTACTGTCATTATATATATAAACCTGTTGATGTGCAATTGAAATGAAATATGGAAGTAGGTAACAGCTAAAAAGCTTTCAGCCCATAGTGGGTTACTTCTATCCCTGAGTATACTTTTCATATTTTAGCTTTTGTAGTCTTGCTCAGGTTGTTTACTCTGCTTAGAATGTCCTGTTTTGCCACCTCCATAGAATGGAGCTCTATCCACCCTTAAAGGCAGAGGTCACATGTCACCTTGTCTATAGGACACCTTTACTAACCTTCCTCTGGGTCTCAGAAGCACTGTGTACCTCTGTAGAACACTCATGTTATCCCTCAAGGGCAGAACATGATTCATTCCAGGTCTTCCTACAGGGTCCAACACAGCACTGACACAATGCAGATGATTTCCTTAAAGTATTTAATGAATGCATGTTGCTATGTGTCTGAACTAAAATGCAAGACTCTTTCATACTTTAATACCTGTGGCAATGGTGGAGGTGCTGCCTTGCAGATGTGCCTAGGAGACCCAGAGGCTTAGCCTATCTACTACAACAGCTTTGGTTTCTATGGCACAGCAGTAGCCCTTCTCTACACAGGACTCACAGAGAGGAGGCCCAAAGAGCACTGTATCCAGGGCCTTCAGCTGCAGCTTCTGCCGATGGCTCCGGTCTGTCATCTTCAGCACAGTTCCTGTCATGGTGGTATTGGTGACAGCTAGCCTGTTGAGGCAAAGAGTAGCTGGTCATTTTACTGCCAGTAAAGCCAGCAAAGATCCTGGTAGGATTACCCACCTCCTCCAGGAACACTTCTAGCTCTTAGTGACTGCTCCCCTCTGCACTCTAGAACACAGAGTCTATACCAGTTGGGTCTCAACAGGGAATATAGAGGGACACATAATATTTGCCAAGAATTTGTTCAGCCTTTTCCCCATATCCGCCAACTTAAGCACCCTATCCTCTAGGGATTACCTGTCTGTGACCATTCCCACACCCAACTAAATTTTCTGTTGTGCTTCTCCTTCCAGGGTGTGTACTCTACATATTGTCCTCACTTCCCACTACTTATAAATGCGTTTCCTGTGCAGCCCAGGTCAAACTGTCAGGCCATATGACCCAGTGATTCTGGGACTTATGAATTATCCTACTTAAACCCACTGTCATTATATATAAACCTGCTGATGTGCTATTGAAATGAAATATAGAAAAGGAAAAAATTCAATTAACCACTGATGACAAAAATGGAATTAGTCCTGTTAGCTTGTATTTGAGTCACTGCAATACAAGTTACCTCCAATAAAATTACTGTAATTTTTTATGACCTCCACCCATACTATCAGTGATAACTTTAATGAGAGAGAGCCTGTAAACAAGAAAATGACCTAGGAAAAATGAAACTTTGTTCTCTTCTGCTGGAACACAGTGGATATAGGAGGAGAGGGGTAAAAGATAGGACAGGTTGAAAACCACTGGTCTAGGTCCCACAAATAAGCACTTAATTCCGTACTACTCTATAAGGCTGGTGCTCTTTTCTGATGCGTAGCTTTATTTCCCCAGCTAGAAACGAAGCTTCTGACATCCCAGTGTGATTTATACTCCTGTCTGAGCACGTAGGAACAGCTACTTCCTTCTCTGGCCTTGGAAAGCAATCAAGCCCACTGATAAGAGAGGCAGTGAGGCACTGTAATGGGGAGTGGGAGTGGTCAGGAGAGCTGGCTTCTCATCTCAGCTTTACTAGTGACCACTTGCCCGATCAAAAGTTGTTTTGTTCCTCCCCCAGGAGCTCAGATTCCTTCTGAGTAAACTGATGTAAAATCAGATGCTTCCTACAAGCCTGGGAGTTCTTGGAGTTCCTCTTTAAAGCACTTCTGCCAGATGTGCTGCAGTTCATCTAACTAATGAGAATAAACATTGTCACCTTTTCTACAGTCTATTTCTCAAAGAAACGTATGAACTGGAATGCTATCTGCTTGTAAGCAACGAAAGAAATGAAAAAGGAGCTAACACTGACTAAGCAAGTAATGTGTATCTGGTACAGTTCTGATACTTTACATACAATACCTCATTCAGTCCTCACAACAACCTTAAAAACTCAGTTCCATTATTAGTGCCACTTTCTAGATAAGAAAACAGAGACTTCAGTTGAGTAACTTGCCCAAAGTCACACACAAGTAAGTGGCAAAGCCAGAGAGTCAACTCAAATCTGCTAGATTATTCTCATTATACCATGTGAGCCAGTGATGGGCCTTGAACCACCCTCACTCCACCCCAAGCAATGAAGGCCCCATACTTACTGTTGTCACTAAGGTGCCACAGCTTGGCATCCCCTACACCTGTGCCCAGCCTGGCTGGATCTGGTCTTGGCTCTAATTAGCCACAAAAATGCTAAGGGAACCCACGACCTAAGAACTGACTTCTTATCCTATGCTTTACAGTTTTAATCCAAGCCATAAACATCCCCCATGAAGAAAACGGTCCAGGGATCCACAAGGCAATATTGCTATTTCTGTGGGTAGCAAGAAAGAACCTTAAATCTTGGATCTTAGTCATCAGTCACCTACTTTTCCATTAAACATGGAGCTCCTCAAATCAGAGGTCAGATCGAATGCATCTCTTTGTCCTCAGGGCCCAGCAGAAAGCACAGCACATGGTATAGGTGCTTAGTGAAGTTTTGTAAAATAGAACTAAACTGAATATTGAAAGGAACCTATCTTTAACCACATAGCACAAGAGGAAGATGCAGTGAAAAAAAAACAGGGCATTTAGAACAAGACAGACCTGGGTTCAAATCCCAACTCTGCCACTTACCAGCTTGGATAAATTATAAAATATTTGAGATTCAGTTTGCTCACCCAAAAGATGGGATACTCTTCCTCCCAGAGTTGTGAGAATCAACTGAAATAATAGGTAGGAAAGCACTCTATAAAGGGAGGTACAAACATTAAGATTATTACTCTCTCCAGAGAGGGAGAAGCTGTGAAAAGAGGCTGCAGGCAGCAGAGGAGGGAACAGCCAGCTCAGCTAGGCCGGACAGCAGTGCTCAGTAGCTCTGTGGCTGAAGACTGCAATGTGTGGGCATTCCAACAGCTTCACCTCCCCGTTTCCCCTTTGCTGAAGCTCAAAACCAGATGCACCTACATAATAAGATGACAGATTATATATAATCAGCACTTACCAGACAGTAAGCCCTTTGAGGGCAAGGGCAAGTTGTTGTCATCTTTATCCCCAGCACCCAGCGCAAGTGCTTGGCACAGAGCAGGTACCCAGTAAATATTTGTTGGATGAATAAGTAAATGGATTAATGACTTAATGACTGAATGACATATGGCACTAGTTTGACATAGCAAGAAGTCCAAGCAGTACTCCATCCCCTCCCCATTCCCAGCACAAGCCCTAGCATATTGAGCGTGAAAAGGAGGCAAAGAGTTATGATACAACAGCTGTTGGAGTCATCCCAGAGAAGAGGCTGGGGCCAATGACAATTAACCTCTCCTCTGTACCATTTTTATTACAAATAAGCTGTATATGGATAACCCAGGGGAGGCTAAAAGAGCCCCGAGGCTCCTGGGTGTTAAAAGAGGCAGCTGCTCAGGGAACAGAAAAAAAAAAGGGAGAGAGAAACACCACAGGCTTTGATGTATACGCAGATTCAAATCTCAGTTTTGCCCCTAACTATTCATGTTTGTGACCTTGGGAAAGTTACATAACCAGTTTCATCATCTATATACAATAATACCCACCTTACATGACTGATGTAAGAATTAAATGAGATACTGTATATAGTGTTGAGTAGAATGCCTGGCATGTACTAAGCAATCAGTAAATGGCAGCTATTAGTACTATTCCCAGGATTGACAGAAATATTAAAGAAGAGAGTGGATGCAAAGTGCCATCATATTTTACAGCAAGTGCACAACAGATGTGAGAAGAGGCAAGATCTATAGATGCTGCCCTGAAAATGGTAGAACCTCACTTAACTGGCCAGAGCAATCTGAAGGCAGGCCCACTCCAGCCCATTCCCTGTACCCTCAAATGAAGAAAATCCAGTCCCCTCCTGACCTTGGCATGGCATGGCCACTGAGCTGCAGCTTCCGGAAGGTCTCCTCATACTGAGGCAGCTCCACATATGTGATCAGCCACTGTACCACCTCATCCACGGTCCAATTGTATACTGTGAAAAAAGACAAGCAAAGCCATGACTCCAGAATGCCAAGCACTGCTTGCATTTATTGTCATGGTCATATTGACCTTAATATTTACCATATTTGTATGTTTAATATCTCTCTGTCCCATAAAATACTAAGTATGAAAGGAGTATACACGGTGAGTCTATTTATATGAAATCCTGGAAAAGACAAATTTATAGTGATAGAAAGTAGATCAACGGTCAGCTGGACCAGGAAGGGAGGTGGGGACTGACTGGGAAAAATCACAAATGCAACATTATAAGGTGACGGGTATATTCTATATCTTGAATGTGGTGGTGGTTACACAAATGATAACATCTGTCAAAATACATCCAACTGTACATTTAAAATAGGTGTATCATCTTTTATGTAAATTATACCTCAATAAATCTGATTTTGGAATATTTTTAAACTGTTGTGAACCGGGTTGAGAATAAACTATCCATCCATCCATCTATCCAACTATTCAACTGAGCATTCATAAGGGGCCTACTTAGTGCCAAGCCTGGAGGAAGTTAGTTCCCAATCCAATGGATGAGATCAAAAGCTAAACAGCATGAGTAAAGCACAGATCCTGATAAAGAAAAATACACAGAGCACAGAGGAGAAAGGAAATAACTGCCTAGGGGTTCAAGGACAGCCTCAGAGAAGATGATGTATTGCAACATAAAGCATTAGTAGAAGCTTATGTGAAATATTTCATGGGTGTGGGGGAGGAAGGTTCTTGATACAGAATGAAGACAGGTGCAAAAGAAAAGATGTGGAATTTGATGTGTCTGAAACAGCAGTCCCCAACCATTTTGGCACGAGGGACCAGTTTCATGGAAGACAATTTTTCCATGGACCTGGGGCAGGGAGATGGTTTTAGGAGGAAACTGTTCCAGCTCAGATCATCAGGCATTAGTTAGATTCTCACAAGGAGCACGTAACCTAGATCCCTCACATGTGCAGTTCATAACAGGGTTTGTACTCCTATAAGAATCTAATCCCGATGCTGATCTGACAAGAGGTGGAGTTCAGGCAGTAATGCTCCTTCATCCACCACTCATCACCTATTGTGCAGACCAGTACCTACTGGGCCATGGACTAATACCAGTCCATGAACTCCAGAGTTCAAGACCAGCCTGGGCAATATAGTTTGACCCTGTCTCTACTAAAAAAATTTTTTTTAAATTAGCCAGGTGTGGTGATGTGAGCCTGTGGTCCCAGCTACTCAGGAGGCTGAGGTGGGAGGACCATTTGAGCCCTGGAGGCTGAGATTGCAATAAGCCACAATTGTGCCATTGCACTCCAGCTTGGGCAACAGAGTGAGACCCTGTCTCAAAAAAAAAAAAAAAAATCCAGCTGACATAATTTAAGCCCTGAGTCAGATCATGCCTGTAGAAAGCCCTATTATAGATATTTCAGTTTAATGCAAGAAACACATTTCCCTTTTTGCTTATATCAGATCGAAACGATTTTCTGTCATAAAAGGAATGAACTCTAGCTGAAACAACAATTGAGTGGTCATTCGCAATATGGCAAATTGCATCATCTCCATACATGCAGCACTAGAGCTAGTGATTCCTCAATAATATAATGTGATTTTTTAAATGGATAGTCATAAAAAGTAGCCTTTTAAAATAATTTTGATATCTGTATTGTGTTTTAAAATGCAGAAAACAAAGTTATCCCTATACTTTGTTAAAAGTCAATTATGAAGGAGTAGAAGTAGACTTAACACACAATACACAAGGAATACGTTCCAGCCCAGTGAAGGTCAAAAGAGATCATGAATCAAAGTTTCACAGTAGCTTAAATAAAGAAAAATGGTGGGAGGAATGAGTCATGACCTGGTACCCAGCAATATAGACATGCTGAATTTAAAAGCGCCTGAAAGCAACTGATTTTCAGTAAAAAGCATCATTTTATTGGATCTGAAGTTTATTTTTACTTAAAGCATAAATCTGTTTTTGTTTGCATTGGTATACAAATTTTATACAGTGACTTAAACCTTGTTTTATGTTTGCACATACTTAAATAACACTATAATAAAAATAGTTTAAGCAGCACTTCAGGTCCAAGATGAATTATTTAACTTAAAAGGAATTTGTACATTCCTCAAATTTGAAAACCACTGCTGTAAGCAGCAAGAAGCCAAAAAAGTTTTGAAGTTGAATGATACAGTGAGATTCATCACTGTCCTCTCGTAAGATCCATCTTTTTTCTTTTAAGAGACAGGTCTTGCTCTACCACCGAGGCTTGAGTGCAGTGGTATGGTCACAGCTTGCTGCAGCGTTGAACTCCTGGACTCGAGATCTGCCTGCCTCAGCCTCCTGAGTGGTTAAGACTACAGGCAGATACTACTACCATGTCAGGCTAACTCTTTTTTGTTTTTGTTTTTGTCTTTGTTTTGTTTTTTTGAAACAGGGTCTTGCTCTGTCACCTAGACTGGAGTGCAGTGGTGCAGTCTCAGCTCACTGCAGCCTCCACCTCCTGGGTTCATGTGATTCTCCTGCCTCAGCCTCTGGAGTAGCTAGGATTACAGGTGCACACCAACACACCCAGATAATTTCTCTATTTTCAGTACAGACAGGGCCTCACCATGTTTGCCAGCTGGTCTCAGACTCCTGGCCTCAAATGATCCTCCCACCTCAGCCTCCCAAAGTGCTGGGATTATAGATGTGAGCCACCACACCCGGTCAAATTATTTTACTTTTTGTAGAGATGTTGCCTATTTCCCTATGTTGCCCAGGCTGGTCTAGAACTCCTGGCCTCTGGCAATTCTCCCACCTCAGCCTCCCAAAGTGATAAGATTACAGGCATGAGTCACCAGGCCTGGCCTAATTTACCTTTAATAGGCAGAAAACATTGAAGGCATGGAATATTGCCTATTCGTTTTTGCTCATCCACTGTTCCGAAACTAAGACCTTCATATACAATGACATCAATAAGAGCTACTCTAAATGAGGGGTTCCAGAAATGATTTGATGTGGGCCTCAAAACAACAACAAAGCCTCCTTAGAAAAATATACAACTCATATGGATGAGTAACTTCTGAAATGCTTGTCAAAAAAACAAGCATTTGGCCAGACATGGTGGTTCATGCCTGTAACCCCAGCACTTTGGGAGGCTGAGACAGGAGGATCACTGGAGGCCAGGAGTTTGAGACAAGCCTGAGGAACACAGCAAAACCCCATCTCTACAAAAGAAAAATTTTTTAAATTAGCCAGGCGTGGTGGCACATGCTTACAGTCCCAGCTACTTGGGAGGCTGAAGTGGAAGGATAACTTGAGACCAGGAGTTCAAGGTTGCAGTGAGCCATGACTGCACCACTGCACTCCAGCATGGGCAGCAGAATAAGACCCTATCTCAAAAACAAACAAACAAAAAAAATAAACAAAATAAAACAAACAAACAAACAAACAAAAACAGTCATTCCTCTCAGCCCAGCATGTGATACACGGCAGATAATCAGGAAGACAACCTAACTAAAATAAAGTTGAAGGCAAAAATGCTCCAATCTCTTAATGTCCTCAAGAAGATGCTGGAGCTCAGAATGAAAGCTCAGAAACTGAGTGCCTTTGGAGGTAGATTAGACTTTTCGCAGAGGCATGGGAGGTGGCAGAGGAAGGAAATGAGGCAGACACAGTGTGTCCAGGTATGCATCCTAGAAGACAAGACACTAAAAGCTTAAGTGAAGGGTGCTTAGTCAGTGCTTGGTTAAATTTCTAATTCCCAGACTAGAATATATTGGAAGAAAAAGATAAATTAATTTCCAAGAGATACCGTTGAGAAAAGAAGGATGACATAGCTGGGGTTAAATTAGTGTTGAGGGGGTGGCGCATGCCTGTGATCCCAGCTACTCAGGAGGCTGAGGCACGAGAACTGCTTGAACCCAGGAGGTGGAGGTTGCAGTGAGCTGAGATTGTGCCACTGAACTCCAGCCTGGACAACAGACTGAGACTTTCTCAAAAAAATAATAAAAAAAAAAAAAAGCCAGGTATGGTGGCTCACACCTGTAATCCCAGCATTTTGAGAGCCCAGGTGGATGGATCACTTGAGGTCAGGAGTTCGAGACCACCCTGGCCAACATGGTGAAATCCCATCTCTACTAAAAATACAAAAATGAGCTGGGCATGGTGGCATATACCTCTAATTCCAGCTATTTGGGAGGCTGAGATGGGAGTATTACTTGAACCTGGAAGGCGGAGGTTGCAGTGAGCTGAGATCAGTGGAGTAGCACCACTGTACTCCAGCCTGGGCAACAGAGCAAAACTCTTTATAAAAAAAAAAAAAAAGGAAGTGTTGAGAGATGGGTGGTTCATGCCTGTAATCCCAGCACATTGGGAGGCTGAGGCAGTTGAATCACTTGTGCCCAGGGATTCAAGACCAACTTGGGAAGCATGACAAAACCCCATCTCTACAAAAAAATACCAAAAAAATTAGCTGAGAGTGGTGGTACATGCCTATAGTCCCAGCTACTCAGGAGGCTGAGGTGGGAGGATTGCTTAAGTCTGGGAAGCAGAGGTTGCAGTGAGCTGAAATGCAACACTGCACTCCAGCCTGGGTGACAGAGCAAGACCCTGACTCCAAAAAAAAAAAAAAAAAAAAATGGACTAGAATGTATTATTCCTGAAAATAAATATATATCCTAATGCATTACAGATGTTATCATTTACTATGGTCTGGAGTGTCAGGTAATGAAGGCATAAGAGAGTGACACACAGATATGAGGCAGATAGACAAGTGCTAGCCTGTAAAGTACAAAGAACAACACACTCCTGCCACTGCTGCCAAGGGAACTAGGCCTCATCCAGCACAAAGGGGCCTTTCTGTTTGGCGTGTAGAGTGGAAAGAAGGCTACTTTTTTATTGCTAGAAAGGCCTAAGGCCAGCAGTACATCAAGGGCCTTTTGTCTACTGGGAGGATGACTTGATACAAGCCTGGGCATAGAATCTTGGCATACAGAAACTCCTCTATCAGCACCCTACACCACAGTGGT